TTCGGGCCCAGCCATCTGGCTGGGCCCGAAGTGGTTCGAAATCATCCATTTATTATAACACAAAATATAATAGAGTGGATGGGATTTGAAGGTCGAGACATTTCCGACAAACAAGAACGCTTTGCCAGAATGTTAAAGAGGAACACCATTCCGTATTACGAGATTGATTGTAACCATCCTTTCGCTCTCGAGTACTCTTGTGTGCAAAGAGAGGCGAAACAACTAGAATTATCACACAATCTAGATAAGAAAAGATGGATTTGCATGGATCCCAAGGACTTTAAGAAAACGGTACTCCGATTAAACACGAAAACGGCAGATATGGTACGCGACTTTTATCTCAATCTCGAGGAGGCGGTCGTTGCCTATTCAGAGTACACTCTGAGCTACATGGTCGAAAAGGCGACTTTGGAGAATAGGGTGGCCAAGTCACAGCTCGCAACCAAAGACGAACAACTCGCTCTCAAAGAAAAGTCGGAGGAAGAGCTGAGCGCGCAACTCGCCACCAAAGACGAAGAGACAAAAGAGCTTAACATTCGGCTCGAAGAGCAACGTCTCTTAAAGGAACAGATTGAAATAGACGCAAAGGAAAAACTTCAGCGCGCACTCAAATTTAACCAAGCGACGAAACAGGTTGAACCACAGGAATATATCTACATAGCTACCACAGATGAGTACTCTCTTGAAAATAAGTTTAAGCCGGGAGGATGTGCTTCTTTTGATCTGGTAAAAAGTAGACTGTCCCAATACAACAGTGGAAAGTCCGACTCAAATTCTCACTACTTTATTTATCTGCGGAAGGTGCCGAATTACCGCTCGATTGAACAAGCTCTGAGCGGATGTTTGGGCGGCTTCAGGGAAAATGCAAACAAGGAGCTTTACATTATCAATTTCGACTGGTTGGTAAAGTGTTTGGACGCCATTATTGATCATAACCTGGAGTTTCTGGAGTTCGTTAACTGTAACCGAATGCGAATGGTTGAGGATACGATGAATCTGAAACCTACTGTCATAACTCCTCTTCGACTGGAAAAGATTAGAATTTCATATCAACGTATCGGCGAAGAGGAAGTTGAGTTGACCACAATTTTCAACCAGGATGTTGTTGATGCAATAAAAGATTCTTTGTTGTCGTTTAATCCAGACAACAATATTATCAAGAGAGTGGTGTTCGAGGATCATTTAAGACAAAATTATCCAAAAGTTAGAATTAACAATAAAAAACGTCCTTTGTGGGAAATTGTGAAACAGATTGGTGTGTCGATTAATCCGAAATGGAGATATAAATATTGATTCGTGCAGATTTTTTAAGTTCAAAGGACTTAAAAAATAAATTTTACAAAATGATTTTTAAAATAAAAAGTACAAGAGAATAAAATTACGATGAAATTGACTACTTGCGAATTTTACGTGTATTCATGGCATCTCGACGAAGAAGACCACCAAGACACCTTCATTAGAGCATATGGGTTCGACGACCAGAACCAAAACATATGTGTCAGCATTAACGGATTTCGCCCATTTGTGTGGGTTGAATTACCAACCCACATTAATTGGAAAAATCCCGACAACAAGAATAAATTATACCTTTATTTTCGTCAAATGTTTCCAAATGTTAAGTGTACGTTAAAATTTTATAAAAAACTGTATGGGGCTCATTTAAAAGAAAAGACGTTGCCCGAACCCAACCCCGAACCCAACCCCGAACCCAACCCCGAAGGGGTTGGGCGCCAGTTGCCCTTCGGGCAACTGGTAGGGGTAGGGCAACGTACGTACACGCACAAGATGTTTCCATTTCTGCTCTGCTCTTCTAGCTCGTTCAGAGAATTAAGATTCAACTTACCAAACAGATTAAAAAATTCTCAACGAATTTTTGGTCTTGGAAACCTAAAGTTCTCTGTGCATGGACAAGATGCGTGTCCAAGGTTGCAGTTGACGTCAAAGTATAATTTGCCCACGGCCGGATGGATCAAGTTCCAGGGACTGGAAATCGAAGACGAAGATGACAAGTTTACATTTGGAACACGTGAATTTTTGGTTGATTTATTTGATCCTGCGAGTTTGATTGCAAAGTCGTCGAAGACGACTATTCCGACCCCCCTAATTTTGAGCTTCGATCTAGAGGTGAACTCGGGCGACAGTGTTACGATGCCGAAAGCTACGCGTCCTGGAGATGTGGTGTTTCAGATATCGTGTGTGTTTTCGAGGCTTGGTAGCCATACTTATGAAAAGATTTTGTTATCTCTGGGCAATCCGTTAGAGCAAGCTGTTGGTGCACAGATTAGGCGTTACGACACCGAGCAAAAGCTATTGATGGGGTTTCGGGATTTGGTCAACGAAAAAAATCCAAACGTAATCACCGGTTACAACATTTTTAATTTTGACATTCCGTATTTGATGGATAGAGCAAACCACATGACAATTTATCCTCAATGGGCGCAGCAGGGTTTTGCTAAAAACCAGCCGGGTATTGCAAGAGAAATCAAGTGGTCGTCTTCGGCATACAAAAACCAGGAGTTTAAGTTTTTGGATTGTGAAGGCCGACTTTACATTGACTTGCTTCCAGTGGTTCAGAGAGATTTTAAGCTCAACGACTATAAGCTGAAAACGGTATCCGCGCACTTTATTGGAGAAACGAAGGACGATTTGGAGCCGGCCGGCATTTTCAAGTGTTACCGAGAAGGAATCAAGGAAGGAGAACTGGCATCAAAGTACATGTCTCTCTGCGGCAAGTATTGTATTCAAGATTCAATGTTGGTAATGAAACTGGCCGAAAAATTAAACGTGTGGTACAGTTTATCCGAAATGGCGGTTATATGTAACGTCCCAATGATCACTCTATTTACCAAAGGTCAACAAATCAAAGTTTACTCCAACCTTTATAAATACTGCATCGAAAATCAAATCGTACCAGAAAAAGATGGGTATCTTGTGGCCGAAAACGAACGTTATGTTGGAGCGTTCGTTTTTGCTCCGAAACCGGGTCTTTATGAAAACGTGGTTCCGCTGGACTTTTCGTCGCTATATCCGAGTCTTATTATAGCGTATAACCTCGATTATTCGACGTGTGCATTTGACCCGTCAATTCCCGACGAGCTGTGCCACATTATGGAGTGGGAAGACCACATCAGTTGTAAGCACGATCCCAAAGTGATCGAAAAGGCGCGTTTGACGGCTGTGATCGACGAGTTGACATCGAAGACATCGAAGACATCGAAGACATCGAAGACATCGAAGACATCGAAGACATCGAAGACATCGAAGACATCGAAGACATCGAAGACATCGAAGACATCGAAGACATCGAAGCAAGAAATATCTGATCTTAGAAAGCAGAGGTCAGATATAACCAAAAGTTTAAATAAAAATGTAATGTGTGAAAAAAGGCGTTATAGATTTTTGAAAGTGACTGAAGAGAATCCGGAATTTAAGGGTGTGTTGCCAGTCATTGTCCAGTCGCTTTTGGACGCCAGAAAGGACACGAGAGACGAGATGGCGCGTCTCAAGGCACTTCTCAAGACTTGTCCCGATTCGTCGCGCAAAGAGCTTGAGACAACTATTTCTATTTTAAACCAGAGACAATTAGCTTATAAGGTTTCAGCCAACTCAATGTATGGTATAACGGGTGTTAAAGCGGGTTTATTACCTTTTATGCCAGTTGCAATGACTATTACATATATGGGTCGTGAAAATATTTTAAAAGCTGCTGAATATGGTAAAAAAAAATTTGGGGGTCATTTGATCTATATAGATACGGATTCAAATTATTTTAGTTTTCCTCAGATTCAAAATCATCAAGAGCTGTGGAACTTTGCTGTTCAAGTCGCAAACGAGATCTCCGACCTGTTTCCGCCTCCGATGAGATTAGAATTCGAAGACGCGATTTACACAAAATTTCTCATCTTGACCAAAAAAAGATATATTTACCAATCCTCATCGAAAGACGG